TATCAAGTGGTGTATTTTTAAGTTAGCCACATTATGACAGCTAGTGGGTTTATTGCTGTTAGGTGTTGCCAGATTTTTCTTGCCCTTTCTCCACTGCGCAGCACCGCAGTGCAGCCGGAGGGATGTGCGTGCAGTAACGACGTTAGTTCTAGAAAGGCCAGAACCTGCAGAGCCTCAGATCTTCCTGCTGCTTCAGTCCAACCAGAGAGCACATTAACTTAAAACCCTGCCTCTTTGTGCTTGTGTTACAGACACGTATTACTATAATTATTAATATATATTTGTATATACAGCTACCTGATTAGATAATTAATATTATATTTCTATAGTATGATATTACATTAGATAATTAATAAGTATCTAACTCATATCGACCCACGTAATACATGATTATAGATTTGGCAAGTCAAATGAGCACAGGTCATTTTGCAGCCAAGTGGAGCGCAGTAACTCTTGCCTGAAGCGTAAAAATATCACAGCAAGAGGCAAGGGATTCGGGGACACAATTAGGAAAGAAGCAGCACGGTGATACCACAGGTTCTCCTGTAAAACACTCTTGAAACAGCTATTCACTGCTCATGACTATTCTAAACACGGGGCTATTTTTTTTTTTCAAATTAAAAAGCACTTAGTTAACTTTGGTGGGAGCTAGAACTTCTACCTAGGATAAACCTCTCGGGTCAGTTACCCGAATTATCCCTTCTTAGCCTACACTCTGAAAAGACCGGGTTTGAATTTCACATTGACAGTCAGTGATTCAATCCCTGTTTTTATTTCAAGTCTCTCAGATAAATGGAAGGAGAACCAGGTGAGACCCCAGCTCGTAATGAGCAAGGCAAGGCACGAAGTGTCCTCTCTATGAGCAGTCCAAGCAAAGTCACTATTCAGGGCCCTGATAAATGACTCTGTTTGTTTTGAACTTGCAGAATTCAATTAAAAGAAATGCTTTTTTTCTTACATTGGACACCAACACCTCTTTGAAACGTGCCCAGACAAGTCTTTCTGTCCCAGTGGAAAAGCCAGAAAGCACCAGCCAGCACGCAGGGCTGGGAGCTCGGCATGGCTGGTGGGCAGGGTGTGGGAACGATGGCTCTGAACCTTCCTGCTTCCTGAAGCCTGGAAATCATGGCAACTTTCAGGGGGAAAAAAAGAAGTCAAGCCACTGATATGGATCTAAATATGGATTCAGGAGTTTAAATTTCTGACTTTTTTCTACTTTTATTGTATTATCCTTTTAGCTAGAAACCACGTCTCTGTCCCCCATGATCCTTTTCAAGTTAATTTAATTAAAAAAAAAAAAAAAAAAAAAAAAAAAAACAAAACATAAAATA